ATTGCAGGAATAATGGCGATGATGATAACATGTTCCCACTCCCAATTGTCCCCCAATGTAATCATGATGGTCGACAAAAAACAAGGTGGAGATTGTTGGTATGTTTCGGCCCTACCCATCTGACCGGAACCAACCCAAACCCTACCCGTTTTGACTTATAACCGATAAAATCATATTTGTTTAGCAAATCTCACCCAAATCGTTCGAACCCATTCCTCCACTTCTCTCTCCATCAGTTCCGAAGTAGACAGGTGAGTTCTTCTCTTCTTTGGCCTAAATTCAAACTTGGTTCGTTTCTACCCGGTCGCCTCTGCATCAGGTAAGTTTTGCTTCCCCTAAATTAGAGTAGTTTATCCAATATCCTCGCACCTATAAATATAGGTTTGTTCGATGTGTTGAAGGGTGGGTGAAAAACAGATAGTGAAATCGATAGTTGTGGGTTCTCTTTTGGAGGTTATGTTCGATAGTATTATCTAAGTGACATGTTGTTCAATTGTTCACTATTCCACTTCTGCTTAGTCTATTTCTGTCCATTGATAAGTGAAGTACAAACAATCAACACCTTGTGGTGTTGGCAACATTGGACGACTTGGGGTGGTGAAGGAAGTGGTTGTGATCTAAGCCTACATCGATTTTCTATTTTTCTTATTCATTTTCTTTACCTTCTAATTTTACTTAATATATATTGTTATCCGCGAATAATAAGTTTATGTGTGAGCTTTCTTGTGTTTACAGGTTAACCCCGAAGTCCAATTCAATCAAAAGAAATCCAACACGATCAGTAAATAAATTTTAATATTGTAACATATATGTTTCTGAGATGATACTATAAATATAAAAATATAATGATAAATCTTGTGACATCATTGAGAACTCAAGACGAGTAGAAAGCTTTTCGGTTTTAAATATATGTTTGTTGTGTTTTTTGTTGTTGTAACACATATAATTTTCTATCTACATAAAGTTGTTGTTCTAATTTTTGTGTAATAGAAGTTTTAATTGAAAATATGCGTGTATGCTTTTACTATATTATGTATGTGATTTATTTATTTAAAATGTGTGTTATTTATATATATAATATAATAATATTATTTAAATAAAATTATTAAATAATTATAAATATATAATAATTACTTTTTACTTACATATGTGGTCAGATAATTTTCGGTGTTTTTAGAATTTATATTTTATTATATATATTTAAATATATTTGATTGTGTTTTTATTTTTTTATTGTAATGTGTGTGATTTTCTAATTATATAAAATTGTTGTTTTGTTTATTTTTTTTGTAATTGAAGTTTTAATTGAAAACCTGTGTATATGTTTCTATTGTGTTATATATGTGATTTATTCCATGGTAACGTGTGCTTTTTATATATTTATATAAAATATGATATTATTGTTTTAATAAAATTATTAAATAATTATAGTTTAAGGATTTTTAGGATTTATATTTATTTTATTATATATATTTAAATTATTTGTTGTGTTTTTTTTTTTTAATATATGTAATTTTTTAGTTATATCGGACTGTTATTTTGTTTATATTTGTGTAATAGAAGTTTTAATTTAAATTTTTTGTGTGCTTTTATTAAGTTATGTATGTGATTTATTTATTTGTAACGTGTGTTCTTTATATATTTATGTGAAATACAATATTATTATTTAAATAAAATTATTAAATAATTATTTAAATTAATTTCTTGTCTGATTACATTTCCTTCTCTTTCTATCACCTGTTTTTCATGAACAAATACAAACTTGTTTATGTGTTCTCTTTCTTAATATGATTGTCTCCATGTCTAATTGCAATTGCTTCTCTTTATATGATTTATAATTCTTGTTGATTAATTTAATATTTTTAATAAATGAAAGTTGAATCTGATTTGAAGAAAAAAAAAATTGAAATAATAGAAAAAAAATAGTTGCGATGAAGAAAAGATGAAATTGTTGGCGTCTGGATGCATGTTTATGTATTAATTAAAATTACTTTTCTACTCCTTCATTTGATGATCACCGTTGGATTAAATTTTAGTGGAAGGAATTAAAATTAATTAGTACAGTACTAATTAGCCATAATGAGCATAGTAATCGTGCCCATTATATGATATTAATTATATTTTAAATTAATAAATTTTACCAAATATAAAAATATGTAAAATAAAGTGGACAGATAAAAATAAGAAAAAAGGTTAATTGTTTTGGGATGAAAGAGTAACAATGATTTATTCATTCCCTAAATCTTCTCAATTTTCGTATTTTAGTCTGTCTATTCAAATTTTTTTCATTTATGGTAAGTAAAGTTATACTCCATGTAGGTACAAAATTTTTTTTACTTTATCATCGCATCATTGTTTTTACATAAAAAAAATAATAATAATAAAAAATAAAATTATTTTTAATACATTATTTGTGCTATATTTTAATAAAATACTAATATACCTAAATTCGTCTGTCAGAAATAAATGAAAGGAGTATACGAAATCCATTTGATAGTAAGATTAATGATATTTTCCTTTGTATTTCTTATTTAAATTTTGATTTAATTAATATTTTAATATATTTTATTTTAAATGTTGAATTTTTATTAAAATAAAAAATAAAAAGAACACGTGTTTGTTGCTTCCAATTAGACTTGTCCAAACGGTTCAAACCGTCGATTACGATTACAAACCGCCGGTTACGATTTGTCAGAATTTCAAATTGAAACCGAACCGTCCGAATGACGATTCTAAACGGTTCAAACCGCCGATTACGATTACAAACTGCCAGTTACGATTTGTCAGAATTTCAAATTGAAACCGAACCGTCCGAATGACGATTTCGATTACAATTTGACAGTTTCGATTACGATTTATAAATCAACGGTTACGATTTGAACCGCCGGTTTATATACTTATTTTTCCGATATATTTTTAATATTAATTTTTACGATTAATTTGGAGTCCGGTTTTAATTTACTAAATATTTTCATCATTAAATCTCCATCGTTCATTTCATTTAAAAAAAAAAAACCCGCCTAAACCGAGGGTTTCAGTTCCAACCGCCGGTTTATTCCATCAAATCTCGACCGTCGGATCTGTGTGAATTAATCTTGACCGTTCATTTTTAAAAAATAAATCTGCCCAAACCGCCAGTTGAGTTTCGGTTTTCAAACTGGCAGTTTCGGTTTGAATTTTATCCCGTCCAAACCGGCAGTTCGAACCGAAACCGTCCAAACCGCCGGTTTGGGCGAACATAATTTGAAAAAATAAAAATAATATATATATATTGTCCAAACCGCCGGTTCACGATTTGGCTCAAACACAAACCGAAATTGAACCGTCGGATTCACGGTTTCGGTTCGATTTGAGCCCAATTTCGATTCAAACTGAAACCGGCGGTTCGTAAACCGGAAGACCGGCGGTTCCAAACCGTTTGGGCAAGTCTGCTTCCAATGTTGTTTAGATTTTCTATTATTATACTATAAAGAAGAGATATAATGAAATAAATACTCTTCCATTCCATTTTAAAGAGATCTTTTGGAATTTTTTATAGTAAATTTTAAAAGTAATACTCCTTCCATCCCATAATAAAATATTCATTTTTCATTTTAATCTGTCCCATAACAAAGTATCCATTTCTTTTTTAGTAACGGTACTATCTACCTAATATTACAAATACTCTTACAACTTATAATATATTACACAAATGTCATTACTTTTATATCACACATATTAATAAGGTTATTTTAGTCATTTCTACTATATCCCAATATAATACTAATATTTTTAAAACTACGTATAAAAGGCAAATGAATATTTACTTATGGGACGGATGGAGTAATATTTTATTGTTTAGTGAAAAATGAGTAAGAAATTGACATTTTTTTCCTTTGATTTTTATATATAAAGGAATTATATGCTTAATAGTAAGTTTATAATTTAAATAAAAATTAAATATATTTTGGTACTGGTGTATAATTATTTTTACTAAAAATAAAATTAATACTTTGAATTAGAACAAAGAGAGTATAATAAATTATGCATTTATATTACATTAAAAAGAAAATTTACATAAAATCGAACCTTTTCTTTTGTTAGACAACAATTTTAAGTTTTTGGCACTATTTCAACTACTCTCTCCGTCTATTAACTAAATATCCGTTTGTTTTTTACACGTAATTTTAAAAATATTAGTATTATATTATAATGTAATAGGAATAAAGTAAAAATGACTAAAATAGCATTATTAGTATGTGTGATATAAAAGTAATAGCATTTATGTAATATATTGTAAATTGTAAAGGTATTTGTAATGTTAGTTAAATTGTACAGTTACTAAAAAAGAAAATAGATACTTTGTTATAAAATGGAATAAAATAAAAAAATAGATACTTTCTTATGGAACTGAGGGAGTATTTTAAATATATCATACTATTAAATATTTTTTTCTTCATAAATATCACATCAAATATTCTCTCTGTCTCGATGATTCATTTTTTTTTGTCCATCCCATAAAAGATAATAACTTTTTCTATTTTAATAAATTTTATTCATTTTAAACATATTTAACAAATATAAATCAATTTAATTAAATTTATAAACTCTTACGAATAAGACCCACTCAAAATCATTTTATTTCTATCTTTCTTTTGAATAAATAAATATTTTTACCTATACTTAATGTTGCCGAGCCTACACTTATAACTCTTCAATTTTTATAAAATTAATTTCAAATTAATTATAAATAAATAAATATATTTTTATTTATTTGTATTATATAAATTTTATTATCTACAAAATTATTATATATATTTTATTGAAATATAAAAAAAAAATTAAAATACCAATAATACTATTCATATAAAAAATTAATAAAATAATCTCATAACTTATCATTAATAAATTATTAATTTATACTACCTAAATAACCGTGTTCCAGTTATTTTTTTATTATTTAAAACCTTTTAATACTCCAAAACTATTAAAGATATCTTCTATCCAACGGAGCTTCGTAATAAAGTCCAAACCACCAGAAGAAGTATTTAGACAAGCAACTTTTCACAGGATACAAAGACAACATACCGAAACCAAAACAAAATTTTAGCAAAACAAACAAACAAGGGAAAGACAATAGTGCCCTCACCGTAGACCTGTCAAAAGAAGGCAAGTGGCACGCTCTCATTAGCTGCTCATTTCCCCAAATTTAAGAGGGGAAAAAAAAAAAAAAAAAAAAAATCTGATCATCACGCGCCGCACACAAGTGGCAAGTGCTTTTGGCAGGTGCAGCCAGCAGATTGCCTTCCGATTACAAAGTCCACCATACAGACGAACAATTAATTAATTAATTAATTAATTATATACATACCTAAACCGGACTGGACTGGACCTGACCAGACCGGACCGGACCGATCTGTGATTCAGAAAGTGCAGCCGCAGAAGACAAAGAAGAAGCAGAGGAAGGAACCGAGCGCGATAGACTCCACGGCGTAGACGATGGACCAAACGACGTCGTCCATATCTGGAATCCGGAGGCGAGCCGCCCACCGCCAAGGCTCCAGGCTGAGGCTGGGGCTGCTCCTCCAGCTCGGCGGCGTTACGTAGGAGGCGAAGAGCCTCGGCCACCTGAAAAACGACGTAGGAAGGGCGAAACTGACGTCGAGACACCGGAAAGCCTCCGCTGTCGCCGTCGCCGTGCGAGGCATCCTGCCCTAGTCGTCGGGTACGGAACTGTCGAACGCGTGGAGAAATTAAAGTCCGTAAGCAGAAGAAACAAACTTCTGGCTTCGTCCTTCGCTTTAAATGACCGTGATGGAATGATCTGGGCCGTCGGATCTTTTCGGCCCCACGTCAACCAGATTTTTCCGGCCACGTGCTCCTCACGTGACTAAATTTAATTCCATCTTCCCCGTTGTCCCTGGGTTTGTTTGTTTTAAGTTTACAACAGCGGTCGGTCTATTAGTACTCTCTTTTTATCCGATTGTGTTTCCACTTTTATTTTCGGTTGTAATAAGAAGATACTTTTATTATTTTAATAAAGATTTATATTCTCACCGTTCTTACTACAAAATATCTTTTTGAATTTTTGTAATTGAATAGAAATAAGATTTTACGTCATTCAAATTTATATTCACTTTACTTTTGGGCTATCATAAAAATATATTTGTGTTTCATTTTTAAATAAAAAATTATTATACTTTTTTACATTCTTTTTTACTATAAAAGAAAAAAAAAAAAGTAACAATGATTACTTATTTTTATTAAAACTCGTGCCCGTCAAATGAGTAGTAAAAATGTGTAAGATAGTTTAGATATTTTTGTCTTTTATACTCTCTCCGTCCCATAACAAAATATCCATTTTTTCATTTTAGTCTGTCTCATAATAAAGTATCAATTTTTTTTAAGTAATTGTACTATCTACCTAACATTACAAATACCCTTACAACTTACAAAATATTACACAAATGTCATTACCTTTATATCACACATACTAATAAAGTTATTTTAGTCATTTCTACTTTATTTCTACTATATCCCAATATAATACTAATATTTCTAAAACTACGTGCAAAAAGCAAATGAATATTTCTTTATAGGACCGAGGGAGTATTTTATATATAAATTAATGTATATTTATAATTTCTAGAATAATTAAAGATATTTTAATATTAATATATGATTATTTTTATTATAATAAAAAATAGATAATTTTAAATGAAATATAAAAAATAATAAAAAAATACTTTCAATTAGGATGAAAAATACTATTTTTTGTATTTTTTATTATAAAAGTAAACATAAATAAAAAGTACATATGGTTGGATACGGTCCAACAAGACCCGAGAAATGAAGAGGACCGACGTTTACAACGGCAAATGACTCAACACCAACTAGGACCTTCAAGAAACAGAGACCTTATGACAGTTCAATCTTCACAAAAATTCGACCTTCGAGTAGTTTGGCCTTCGTGGCATCTCAGTCCTCATCGGCCCCAACACCTTCAAGGCCCCCATGATTAAATAAGGTCAACATAACCTGCAAACATGAGAATAATTGAGGGACACGATCAAAAGAGCTTGACAAAAGAATGGGACAGTGAAAATGTCAGAATACCCAACATCCCAAAAAATTAGGAAAGGGGGAAGTGAAAAATTTTGTTCATAATTTTAAGGGCTATAAATAGGAAATATTACACATTGCACACATGATTATTGAAATTTAGTTTTGGTTTTAAAATGTGCTTCTCATATGCTAGGGTGTCATGTTGTACGTCAAAACTACTATCAAATAATAGATTTTTTCATATTAACCGGTGAACGCTAGGTCGAACTCAGAGCATAAGTGTAAGAAAATTTTGAATAGGGATGAATGTGAGTATATGAATCAAATTGAATTGAATGGCCTTTTTACACTATGAGATTATAGAATTAAATGCGAAATAACGAAGTAGTGGGTGTAGTGCAATGCGAAGATGATTATAATAACTAAGTAATAGTGCAAAGGAAGTGGAGGCACCCGTCAAGTGGATGAGAATGAATGTGTTATATGTATATAATTTCTGCGTTAGAGTGAACACAAGAGATATCTCTGTGATACTCCCACCCATAAGCCACACAAAGTCGGGCGTGTCGGGAACGTAAACTGGCCCACAGGTCAACACGAGTCATTTTAGCACGCTTTTGTCTTCACTCACGCGCACCCTGAATGATTTTACAAGGGGTTACATATCCTCAAATTACTCTAAGGCAAGCATGCTAAACTCTGGAGTTCTTTCAGTAGAACCTACGAAAAAGAATGTGCACATTATTGATATAAGTAGTCTATTCAGTGCATTTAATTACTATTCAATTTTGGATGGCCTGACATCGGCTCATTCACGGGAGTTGGCCTAGTATCGGCCCAACTCTGGGGGTATTACATCATCCCTCCATCATCTGGTAGGCTCTTCAATAGTCCGACCAACGAATGTGAGCTATCACAGGTCGGTTATGATAATAACTGTGACACCCCGCCCCCAACCCATGCAAATTCGGGCATATCGAGATCGTAGACTGGCCTCAAAGGTCAACACGAGTTCTTTCAGCGCGCTTCTATCCTCACTCATCCCCACCCTGGGAGACTTCTCAGGGGTCACCCATCTCCAAATAACTCTAGGTCAAGCACGCTTAACTCTAGAGTTCTTTAAGTAGGGCTTTCAAAAAGGAATGTGCATATTGTTGACATAAGTAGTCTATTCAATCAATTTAATTACTATTCAATCTTGAATGACCTGGCACCGGCTCATCCACGGAAGTTGGTTAGCACCGGCCCAACTCCGGGGTATTACTACCTCTCCGTTAATACACTTCGCGATCTTGAGAGAAATTGGTATATAAGTACTCTAGAGAGCTAGAATAATTATTGATTATTGAGCTGGTTATCTATTGCAAAATTCATACTTCACTTCCCTGCGAGCCGTTCTCATCGACACTCGCGACTGATAAATAGAGTAATTAGATTGCTACCTACCTTTCTACTGTATTTTTTAAGTCAGATTGCGTGCAAAGGGCTGCTTTTGCAAACGTCTTGGATCTACCTAACAACATGAGTTTCTTTTAAATTCATCTAACTAAATTCAGTTAAGTGACTTATATGCGTTTTTAGTCTCATTATCTTGAAGTACTTTCCAAACATATATCTCAAGTTTATGCCATCCATGAATGAGAGTGTTATGAAAAAGATATGTTATTTCATTAGTTAGAATTTAATTGAATTGAATGTTGTAATTACACTAGAAATAAAATATTGTGATTTAGCTGCATATTTAATACGTGTTAAACTACAAAGCTTGTATTTTATCTAGGTGCAGAATTTAAATGAAATAAGTGATCAGCACGCAACTTCTATCACGAATGCTGCTAATCACCCGCTTCTAGCTTTCAGAGCTTCTTATAGCTTGAGTTATTCTCCAAAAGAATATGAATTTTAGATTGTAAAATTCTAATAAATGAGTTCTGACTTGAGTCGTATTTTTAGGCATCGGCCCAAATTTTAGAAGGGGGTGCTTGCCATTAACAACTAGAAAATTAACTTATCACTGTTCAATTCTGTAGATGCTAATTCGTAATCAACGGCCAAGATGACTTTAGACACGAATTAAGACTCGGATCTAAGTTAATTCAACCTCATTCTACTAGATAGACAGTTGATCTCCCATTCTCTCTCCACTCAACTGTTTTCGCATTGCAATCAGGCAGCAAACAATTTGGCTTGCATTCTCATTCTCGTACACACTTTTTTTACTTTTTGTTCCAAAAGTAATAATGTGTCTATTTTCGTACCTGAAATATCTAAAAAATACCATGGTACATCAATTCACACTATAAACACATAATATGCAATTACTAAGGTATTTTTGCACAAATTATAGTAATTTCAATCAAAAATTGCAAGATGTGCTTATAAAAGTCATTAGAAAAATATGTCCAAAATTAGTTTTATCAAACCTGATCACACTAGCCTTTGTTCATCCCTAAACAAAGTTAATCAAAAGTATAATCCACAACATTTTCATGCTAGTATGAAATCTCATACAAAAGTGCCGCAGTGATGCTCATGAAGAATTTTAGTGAATCAACACGATCCTTAAAACTTCTACTTCACTAAACTGATCAAATTATGTATCACATACTCTCGAGTCATTTTTTTCAGACATCTTTTTGAATGCCAATATTTTCTTCTTAGCGTTGATGTCTATTTCTTCTTTTGAATTGATCATTATATTTCGATATTAATTGGAGTGTGACATTGCAAATTTTTCACAATCAGATTGTTTTTTCTTCTTTTTTTGGCCATATAAGACAACTTCTCTGTCGCGTTTCTTATTTCGTTATCTCATTTTTAAAAAGAAAACATTATGTCTTCTCAAAATAGCTTAGAAGATGCAAAAAAAATGTCTCATGCAATTCAATTAAGTGTGGATTAAATGAATTGATGAGACTCGCCAATCTGATTACTCAAGTAATTACCTATGTTGTGAATTATCCTAATTACTAAATAAGTTCAACTTCAAATTATTTGGTTCGTGTCCGTAAGTTATTAAAAACTAATTATTAATATTCTTGCGAAACAACATCATAAGAACTTAATGCGATTAAAGGCATAGACACGGTTATAATATAGCAAATAAGTACGCAGTCAAAAATATCAAGTTGATCACAAAAGGCATGCATTTACAAAAACTTAATCATAAGTTACTATCATTATGGATACTTAAGCCAAGTTTGGAAATATCGAACTAGTGTGAAAATGTCAGTTTCCATCATTCCCAGCTGAAAATGTCAGTTTTCATCCTTCCCAGCCTGATGTTCATGTCATTCCTTAATTCATTCTCCTTGCCCCTGAGCCCTTCTAGCTGAACCTGCAAAAATATATCTATATATGTTAGTGCGGGTGCCTCTGTCTCAAGCTGCAATCCGATGATATCAATATAATGTGCTTCTCATGTGCTAGGGTATCGCGTTGTAGCCCAAAATATTTTATTAATATATTTTTTTTGTATTAACCGGTGAGTTCCGTGGCAAACTCATGGCATGAGTAGAAGGGAGAATTTGAATAGAGATGGATGCAAGTATATGAATCAAATTGAATTGAATGAAATTTTTAACTAAACTATTACAGAATTAAACGCAAAATAACGGGGTAGTGGGTGTAGTGCAATACGAAGATGATTATAATAACTAAGTAATAGTGCGTAGGAATGGGAGGTGTCTGCCAAGTGGATGAGAATGAATATGTTATATGTATACA